GTGGAGTTTCTACCAGACATGGACCTCGTTTTCAATACCCACGATGAGCCTCGAGTCGTCATTCCGAGCGATGATCTGCATAGGATGGTCAGTATTGCGAAGGACAGCGTCCTTCCGAAATCCTTCCAGAATCAATCGCCGACAAACGCATGGTCGCCTCGGCCCAAAGATTTGAACAAGGGTGATCGGATCGATGAAGTGCGCACGACACGTTTCAACCGGTATGCACATCAGCCCACATGGACCAACTCTCGAGCTTCCTGCCCGGTCGACAGCCCCGCCCGATCCCTGAACGAGGATGCGCCAGATAATGTCGGAGCCTACAAACGTGGAAATCCAGGTTTTATCTACAATACCACTGCCTTTTCTGATGTCTGCAATACTCCGTCACTGAGAAGCACTTACGGCTTCTTTGATCGCCCAAATGCTTTTGACGTGGTTCACGATCTATTCCCGATTTTCTCGCAGAGCAAAATATCCAGCTTTCAAGATATCCTCTACCCAAGTCCCTGGTACTGGGCTAACATGGTTCCCTACGCGGAGAAAAACGATCACCCTTGGGATGAGAAGCAAGAAAAGATGTTCTGGAGGGGTTCCACAACCGGAGGTTTCTCTCGAGCTGGTGGCTGGCGTCGACAGCACCGTCAGATTTTTGTCGGCAACATCAATAGCCTGGACAATGTCAAAGTTCTTTCTAAGACCGCTGACGGTCAATGGCGAGCAAAGGAAGTCAGTCGCGCAGATTATCATAATCTGTTCGACGTTAAATTCACATTCATCGGGCAATGTGACCCAAATGACTGTAACGCTCAGAAGGAATTTTTTGACGTCGTGGATGCGGTTGGTCAGCAGGATGCATGGGCTTTCAAGTATCTGGTCGATATCGACGGGAACGCATTCAGTGGCCGATATTATGCCTTTCTGCACAGCAACAGTCTAGTCTGCAAGGTCGCTATTTTTCGTGAATGGCACGACGAGTGGATCAAGCCCTGGGTACACTACGTTCCTCTCAGTTTGGCGGGTGACGAGTACGTTGAGACGATGCGGTACTTTGTCACCGAAGATGAGGGCAAAAACATGGCGCCGAAAATTGCGCGAAAAGGCCGGGATTGGGCCCTGAAAGCATTACGAAATGACGACATGGAAGTGTGGTTCTTCAGACTGTTATTAGAGTAAGCTTCCCTCTCGGTTGCAATTCGTGACTCGCTAACATTTGCCTTGACAGGTACGGACGTTTAATAGACGACAACCGGGAGAATCTGGGATTCTTCCTTTGATCTGCTGCAGAGTTGGTGATAAATGCCCTCCTCTTCTTCTGTAAATTTCTGGTCCGGTGTTATGGTTTTTGTTTCATGAATCTTGCACTTGCTCTGTACCAATACCCATTTGCGGAGTGATATTTCACATACCTGATTGATTTTATGGGGCTGTTGGCTTTTGTATTGTACTTTATGTTTCTTTCGCCTTGCTTGATATTCCTCCATGATGGAAGCATCTAGACTTGACAGGATTGTTGCTGCAACAGGTCCCCGTCTCGTATACGCAGCTTTGCTGTAGACTTTGTAGCAAATGTATCTACCGATGTACCTCTTTTCTTCAGGATATTCAAGGCTTCTACTTCGCCTACATTGCTTTGATTGGAGATGCCCCTGCCTTTTGATCTTGTGAGCATTCGGCTCTTTTAGACCAACATATGTTCGACATAAGTAGCTCCTCACATTCACTTGTCTCAGATACAGCGTCTATAATTACTATGGCGGTATCAAGCTATAAGCTCAGGTTCGAAAGTGAGTTGTGCTGCCTTATGCATCAGGCAAGCAAGCATAATCACATGCCTTATGACGCATCATTTATATAGTGCTAAAACAGCTTCCCCTCAGCTCCATCTACTGCTTAAGCTTATTTTTGCTCAAAGTCGGCGCATTCCGTTTCTTTTTTTTTTTTTTTTTTTTTACATCCTCTATTTCATTGTGTTATTTCACTGAAGCTTACCTTCAGAATTTTCCCTATGAGCAAAGTTACTGACGTGCTACGTTCCTTCTGAAATTACAACTCCTTTTTGCTCTTAACGTCATTCTTTGGGCGGAGAGCAGGTCATCTACCAGACTGCTAGCAACATGGCTGGCCGTCTTGCTAATAGCTTCAAATCTGCTGTGGTTTTTGCTTATGGATTTTTAACTCTGATTCTTTATGGACTTCAAGCTGTGAAAAAAGGACTTTTCTTCAAACGTCCCACTGAGAAGGAGAAGTTGGAGTTGCAGTTAGGTGAGTGGGCTTACATTGCAGGCATTTTGATTGCGGTAGACTGACGCAATTTCTGTTGCAATGGAAATAGCCCGCGACCGCTTCTGGAATCTCTCCAAAGAATGCTTTGGTCTTTCTCATCACATCCTCACCCTGCGAAACGGATTCAAATTCCACTACCTTTGCAATGATTCCCCTGAGAACTCGACGGCCTCCCAGAAACCACTAGCGATCTTCATCCATGGCTTTCCTGATAGTTGGGCCGTGTGGCGATACATTGTGAGCTCCAGTTCTCTTCAATCTGCGGCGACACTGGTCGTCATCGACCTACCCGGCTACGGAGGAAGCGATACTTTGGACAAATACTCGGCGACAAACATCCTGGAGAGCTTGACGGAGTTTATCATTGCTATTAGAGCCAAGTACGGGATAGATACGGAGACTGGGAACAACCAGCGACGGACGATTATCGTAGGGCATGACTGGGGTTGTGTTATCTCCACGCGTCTTGCAGCTGAAGCTCCTCAGTTGGCTGACCGGTTTATCGTCACCAATGGGCCGGTGGTACGTATAGCAACGCACAACGAGTGTTGGTTAGTGCATGAGTATTTGAGCTTTGCTAACAAACTTCTCATTTCCAGCCCGGTCTGGCTGCAGCGAACATTCGGCGTCTTCTATCCTCCTCGTCGAAAATGTTCAAGACCTCAATCCGCTCACCAATCCGGTCGCGCTCGACTCTCATCAAAGCCATCAGGTCCCTGTGGCCTGTGTTCCGGCAATTGAAGCGCTCGGGCTATATCTTTGTGATGCAATTGCCAATGGGCTTTGTTAAATACTTCGGCAGCGGGGGCAACTTTTCCTTCCTGAAGGCGGTTCACCAGACCTCTCATGGTGATGTCGACTTCACCGCCCGGGATGCCGCAGAATGTATGGCGAGCACTATGGGCCCGTCGACCGAGGAATGTAAGACACGGACTGCCGAAGGCGACGATTATCCAGTTTCGGTGAAGGAGGAACGTGCGCTCTCTAACTTTCAGCACATGGTTGGCTACTACCGAGATGGGGCGGCATTGGGTCGCTGGTACAAATCGATCCAAACCATCGCCGACTTGCATAGCATTGCGGGAGGGAATGAGCTGCGGCGCCTTGGTAGTGGAGCTGGTTTGTTCGATGAGGGACCTACAGGAGCATTGAAAGCAAGTTCCACGATCCTCTGGGGTAAGGCAGATGTTGCTCTCGACCCTCAGATTTGCCTTGATGGCATCTCAGACTACCTTGTTTACAATAGCGAGGTCGTCATGCTTCCACAATCTCGTCACTTCACGCCATTGGAGCGCCAGAGCCGTGTGGCTATTGAGAAGACCGTGGAATGGGCTGTGAAGGGAGAACGAGAGGACATTGGTGCTGTTGTTCAGGCTTGTTACCCTGAAGCCGTGGTGATTGTTCGCAAGTAAGAATGTGCGTTGAGACGGGTGTGGTAACTCGTGGGAGTTGACTTTCCTTTCTCTATCGTCTTCTATCCTTCTGTTGATATTTTATCGTCTTTTGCATTGTCCTATCGCAGACTTGCTGGCTGGGTTTGTATGGACAATGTCAAGAGTTGACACATCTGCGAAGTGTCACCTAAGAAGGGAGAGAGTCAAATGTAAGATTACACATCAATATTTCATCCACCAATCATTACCATTATCGATTGCATTCTGTCTTTATGCCGATGCGCACTGTGTACGGAGTAACTGAGGTTGAAATTCCCCCCTCGTCTGTAACACTGTCGGTGGTGGCCTTGCCAGGATACAGGACTAAACGTAACCAGGGGAACTTAAATATGAAGGCAAGGGTCATATCAATTAACTTTTGAGTCGGTTTGATTTGTTTCACCAGCCGGTTGAAAATAACAACCCCTTTACCTGCGTCAACGGTTAGTTTGAATCTCTTTAGGGATCAAAGCGCTGATGGTGGCACGGGGGCAACGGCCTGAAGGCAGGGGTTGATGATACTAGAAGGTCTGAAGCTACCTTGATAAGAAGAAGTTACCTGTTGTAGACCCCACTTAAGCAAGCCAGGAACGGTCCAGGTTAGCCCAATCCGGGCAGAGCTGTCTTGAGGTAGCTCCTTCGTTGGGAGCACGAAGTAGATAGATAGTTGGCCGTCAATAGATACCTTGAAGGATCAAGGATAGTACTAGGATCATTGGACACCGGATCATCCAAATCGTCACTGTCCCGGAGAAATTGTTCATTAATTGAATGGTTCTTGTTTTTGGCTCTTTAGTATCTGTGACCATGTTTTAGCCACTTACCCGCCCAGCAATCTTGGAGCAGCTACCTCAGAGATCAGATAGATTACTTCAAGTTACCTCTTCTTCCGCTACCACCGTTTCTCTCAACTGCCCAGTCTTCTCTATTTACGTGCTGAATGACCGTTCAAATGTCGTGTCTGTAACCTCTTTGGACACGATGCAGCTCTTGTGGAAGCTGTCGCTCTGATTCACTTACTCGTGTCGCTGCTTATGCTGGCGGGCGGGGCTGGTTGGTTTGCTTTGACGTTACCCTTGACCGAGAGGGGACGAGAGGAGATCCCGTCTTGAGCATTATTACCTGTTCACCGTTTCGTCTTTCACTTTGCCTCCTTTATTTTGGCATTTCTGTCTATTTCATCTTTTTGTAATCTTTGCTTGACAGCTCACCTTGTTTCTCCTTCACTGATCTTCCTTCTCGATCTCTACGGAGTTCGAGCGGGATTCAGGTACCGTCGAGATGGTACCTGAAGGAAGCTCGGTTTATTGCACGGTAGGTATTGGATCGCTTTCCATGGGCACTCTATGACGTCGAGAGCACTGTTAACCCAATTTTAGCTCCTATTGAGCGATCATTATTTGCCTGGTAAACAATGGATCTGCTGAAGCCCGTCAAATTGATCTTTACCTAACTTGCCCTCTAGGTGCTACGGTTCTCGCCCATTCATTGCGGGACAATGGCACAAAGGCCAAGCTCGTTGCTCTCTACACACCTGACACCTTGCAGTATGCCACTATCAAGGAGCTCCAGGTATGGCCCTACTAGTTTGCCTGATTACTTCAAACGTGCGCCTGTGGTCGAACAGTCAAGGGTATCTCATCATAGCCATGCCGCTGACCAGGCCTTCTAGTCGGTGTACGACGAGATCATACCCGTACAAACAGCAACGAATCATACTCCGGCGAATCTATGGCTGATGGATCGTCCGGATCTGATCTCAACGTTCACCAAGATCGAACTCTGGCGACAAACGCAATTCAAAAAAATAGTATACATTGACTGCGATGTCGTGGCTGTAAGGGCTCCGGATGAACTCTTGACATTGGAGGAGGATTTCGCGGCCGCGCCTGATGTTGGCTGGCCAGATATTTTCAATAGCGGTGTCATGGTCCTTCGGCCCAACTTGCAGGATTACTATGCGCTTAAGGCGCTCGCTGAGAGGGGCATTAGCTTTGACGGCGCGGACCAAGGGCTGCTGAACATGCATTTTCGCAATTGGCATAGGCTGAGCTTCACGTATAACTGTACTCCCAGCGCCAATTACCAGTACATCCCTGCCTATAAGCATTTCCAGAGCACCATTAGCCTGATTCACTTCATTGGAGCTCAGAAGCCCTGGAACTTGCCTAGACAAGTGTTGCCTGTGGAGTCACCATATAATCAGTTGCTGGGGAGGTGGTGGGCCATTTACGATAGGCATTATCGCCCTGTTGTAACGGTGAGTTGTGACCTTCTCTAGTATTATGAACTCCCCTCAGCTGCCTTTATTGCTCACTACGTTTCAGGTGCCCCTCCACTCCCTGCCGAGTAGGTTTGTCACGGTAGAGAGTGACATAAATACCTACCCGCAAGAGACTGTACCGCAACCGCCTCGCTTGCAGATTTCACATCCCCCTGGGGAGGCTAGTTCCTATGGGCAAGTCTTAGAAATACAGCATGATCAACACGTGATCAGCTCTTCTGAGCAAGCGTTAGGAACGCATTCTGAAACTTTATTCAAATCTGAATCGTCACCACTACAACCACATACAGTATGTAGTCATAGCCACGCCCAGGTCGAACAGGCTCCTCACGAGGAAGGCTTCTATGACCAGAGCGGTACTCCTCATGGGCAGGAGGGGTCGAAGGTGGACCACGCGCAAGCGGTACCAGAGGAACATCATCCGATTCAGAGTGAAGCAGCACCGGTCAGAAGTGCAGTCCCACAGTATGTTCGAGGGGAAGAACACGTATCCGCCTATGTGCTGCCGCACTCCAGCCAACCAGCGTTTACAATACAGAGCGAACAGCCTACTCACCAGGCTAGCAGCGCTCCACCCCCTTCGTCAGAACCTTCGGCTGTGAATGAGGTCCATCACGCACATCTAGAGCCAGTTGTCGTTGAAAACCAAGAGAAACCTACGGTACTGTCCGCCCCGCTAGTCGAGGTCGAAACCTTTGAAGCGCCCAAGGCCGAATGGGATGCAGCTCGGTAAGTGCTAACTTCATTCACCGAAAGGACCTTTCTCACTCAGTCTTTGTAGGGAACCGCCTCCTTTGAACAGCAAGCCGGAAGGTTTTGCATTGGCTGAAAGGACTTATACCATGTCGGAAGATCAACGACTCTTTCAACCGCCGGCATCTTATCCCGAGGCTCCGAAGAACATGTGGTACCAGGTCCCCGACACAAAACCGGAGCCAGAAAAAGTTAAGCAAATATTCCCTTGGGAAACTCGTGCACCCAGGCCCACGCGCGTTTTTCTGGAGGACCAGCCGAGTACAGTCTCTATGGAGTCAGCATCGGCATCCACCAGAGAAGAATACAAGTCCTCCGTAGGGTCAGGGACCTCATGGACAGCTGAAGAGCCATCTACCGCTACATGGGAGACCTATTCCCGTTCAAATGCATGGGACGAAGTGCCAGAGATACACAAGTACATCCAATCCATTCAACATGGCAGAAAAGCCAAAGTGCAAGTGATATCCGGTGGTCCCAGTCCGGGAACCGAGGCCTCCAGCTGGCGAACTACCGATCATGGACCCATGGGCATGCGAGTCACAGATTTCCCCACGGAGGTAGAACGCCCCAGCCTTCCCGTGACGCCAGCGCCCATCAGGCGATCCTTTGGTCAAGCCTCGGGAGACGAAACTACCGATGAACAGTTGCCGATCGCGGAAGGCGTATCAAAACAGGAGGACTGGGTGGGTCTCACGGTTGATGCGTTTTTGCACCTCCTTCGAGCGACATACTTATACTGGAAGTTTACAGAATCCATTAGCACGCCTCGAAGAGCTTTGCCGGCGACAGTCCGAAGTCTTGGAGAACGCCGATTTATTACCTAGGCTTGTCTGATATTTGTCCAGCATTCCTCCTTCCTCTGCTTTTGTATCATGATATTAGTGCGCTGTTCTCTTTGAACCTGCCGCTGGCGTCTTTTTGGTTCAGGGTCATCCACGTCCCGAGTCTCGCATATCATTGTATGACTGTACAGTATGTCTCAAGCATGTGCATTTACTTTCCCGGGATTTAGTTGAGCCATGCATGAAGAGCGAATGTCGTTTGGCAGATATTCAACCAGATTCTGATTCAATTGCGTCTGAGATTGTTTATTATGAACTCTTATGGATCCTGCACTTAATTCTAAGCAGAATACGAGATGGGAAAGCGAGAAGTCATCTCTGCTTTATGCAAATCACATCATAATTCATTAGCCAGTAAAACTAGACGTAAGGCTAATACGGATATCCTGAGTAGCACACTTGACTCACTTTCTCATGCAGAAAGACAAGTGCAAAGGTATCTCGTGCGTGCTGAGCAACTAGCTCAACACCAGTAAAACAGCAGACAGAGAGCGATGCAGTTGAGACGTACACCTGAACTAGCACCGTTCTCCTCTGACAGAGTAGAAATGGGATTGCTTCACGCGGCTTGCTTTCCCAGTCTTTTCGTCGAACACGCAGAACCCATACGTTGCTGCATTTGGCGGGGTATAAACTGTCGAGTTAGTATGGTTAGCCGTAACGTACAGCGAAGAAGACACAGGCATGAGGTCAATGCGAGATACGTACGGTGTAAAGATACGGCGGGATTATGAGGGTCTGGGTTTGATATCTTATGAAGGCCCAGCTTGGCAAATTGTCAGTTTCGAGTTATGATATGAGTTACTGGAGTAGGCCCGGTATCACAGACCTTGTCAGACATGTAGGTTACCTGGTTTTCGGTGTAGGTGGTTTCCTTGATGATTTGCGGCGAGGAGGACTGCCCGTTTTGGAGCTTATCTTGATCAGGCCATGTATATAGAGTCTCCTGGAGAGAGCCTTTGAGGATCTAGGGTGTCGTCATTCAGCGGTTCTGCCCCGAGGAAGGTATATGGGAGGAGCGAATGATACCTTCATAACACAGTGTGCATTGGCATGATCATGTATTGCGCTCCCTTTGCCAGGGCTCCAGACCAATATCAACTGTCGGAGTACATTATTAGCATGCAACGGGTGGCTCAGTATGGCGAGGTACATATGGGCTCGGTCTCGGCCACATGCAGGTACGGCATATCATCACAGCGCCGCTGAAGTTTATAGTACCGAATGGATCGACGTCTGACCTACCAAATTACTTTTACCGTTTCCCTCATCAATAAGGTTCCTTGTATAACCCCTGCTGTTATCGCCCAGAGCAAAAGGGCGCCATTCCTCCGGGTTGGAGACATATTGCTCCATCAGGCGCTGGACGTCGAGGGGATTGACATCGTCGGAATCCAGGCCAGAGCTCGGACCCAACGCTTCGCTGAGGTCTAGAACGAGATTCTCGAATGCGTTATCAGGGAACCTGCTTTGCGAAGGTGGTAATGATGTTGTGGAATCGAGATATGGCATTGTTATGAGGATCCCCTGCAATATGGAAACAAGACGTAGAAGCTGGGTTGTGATTCGTCGCCAGCGACAAGTATAAATGTCGGATCAAATAATAATCGTAGCGAGTTCGGAGCAGAGAGAGATTCAGCATGAAGGGGTTAGGATAATACTAACAATAGGTATTTATAGATTTATTTGAAAACTGCAACGAAATGCCAATCCATAGAGAGGTATCATCTCATAGTAATGGGACATAGGACCATTTTCAACCACTCATGGTGTTTTTCGTCTGATACACAAGTGTTCCATGCGCGGAAAGAGAAGTTGCCACTGTGATGCCTGAATTTGGCCTGAGGCTGCAACCCCGCCATGTGAGACCGCCTTGTTGAGCAGCAAATGAAGTGGCGGCCACAATTTCAAAGATTGATCTCTCCGCAGTAACACCTTCACGATTGACGTGCATACGATTTGTCTCGGGGCATAGACTGCTTTTCAGCGAGCGAGACATAGGAGAAGCCTTACTAGATTCTTCATTTCCCTTTTTTTACTCAGTCCTCTTCGTTTATATAGATTGCGCCTAGTACGAGGGTAGTACTCGTACCAAGCCGTCAAAATGTCGACGACCGTGGAGAAGGTATAGCTGTCACATATGTCTCATCTTGATGAAGTCGGTCATGCTAATTCCTTTATGTCTGCAGATCAAGCAAATTGAGGACGAGGTTCGTACAGCAATCGCCGAGTTGGATGGTCGCAAGTGCTTCGAAACTGACCAAATATTCAGATGGCTCGGACTCAAAAGAACAAGGCGACGGCATTTCATTTGGGTATGCGCAGGACATACATGACTTTTTTCATGTGTCATGAAGTGGTTAGCTGACAGGTTGTGAAGGCCAACTCAAAGCGAAGCTTGCAAAGCTAAAACGAGAGCTGTTGACTCCATCCGGCGGTGGCGGTGGAGGTGGTGGTAAGTGGAGAGGTCGCGATTGTCTTTTTATGGGAGGCTAACGAAGAGGTTCAGTCGGTTTCGATGTCGCTCGTACCGGTGTTGCCAGTGTGTATGTATCGACTGAACAATCTCTGTGGACGACAAGAGGCTTACTTGGAGTAGTGGTTTCATCGGCTTCCCCTCCGTCGGCAAGAGTACATTAATGAGCAAATTGACTGGCCAACATTCCGAAGGTATGTTTCGAATTGATTGCGTCGGGTGAACAGAAACTGACGTTCGGGTTCGCAGCCGCGGCATACGAGTTCACAACCTTGACGACCGTTCCCGGCCAGGTGCTATACAACGGTGCGAAGATTCAGATTCTCGATCTTCCTGGTATCATTCAGGGTGCCAAGGATGGTAAAGGTCGTGGTCGACAGGTCATCGCAGTGGCCAAGACTTGCCATCTCATTTTCATCGTCCTTGACGTCAACAAGCCGCTGCTCGACAAAAAGATCATCGAGAACGAATTGGAAGGGTTCGGTATCAGAATCAACAAACAGCCACCCAACATTGTTTTCAAGAAGAAGGACAAGGGTGGTCTTGCCATCACTAGCACCGTCCCGCTAACACATATTGACCAAGATGTATGTGCTTTTGATATGTGGCTCTTTTCAGGTTCAAAGTTGACCATTATCGAACAGGAAATCAAAGCTGTCATGAATGAATATAAGATTTCTTCTGCAGATATTTCCATCAGATGTGATGCCACCATTGATGATCTAATTGACGTCCTCGAGGCTAAGAGCCGAAGTTATATCCCAGTCATCTACGCCCTGAACAAGATCGACTCCATTTCAATCGAGGAGCTGGATCTTCTTTACCGAATTCCCAACGCCGTCCCAATCAGTTCCGAGCATGGCTGGAATATCGATGAGCTTCTGGAACAAATGTGGGAGAAACTCAATCTCAGACGGGTTTACACGAAGCCCAAGGGAAGGGCTCCTGATTACACAGCTCCTGTTGTCCTGAGATCAAACGCGTGCACAGTCGAGGACTTCGTATGATTCCACCTGACCTTTACAAGACACTGGGAGCCATTACTGATTCCTGTGTATAGTGTAACGCCATTCACCGGTCGATCAGGGAACAGTTCAAGGTTGCCATTGTCTATGGCCGCTCCGTCAAACACCAGCCGCAGCGAGTCGGTCTCTCGCATGAGTTGGCGGATGAGGATATTGGTATGCCACCCCTGCGCTCTACATTATGCTTCGTGCCCGTCAGAGCTGACGAGTCGACATAGTCACGATTATCAAGCGCTAAGTAATCTCGATGAACATGATATCCGAGAGTCCGTCCCATACTAGGAACGGCTGTGGCGGTTCGCGCACGAGAGCTTTCGAGGGTCTGTGTCAGTGGTGCTGCGCTAAGATCATTTGCGAAAGGATAAAAGGGCCGCCCTTCGTGTGACATAGCTCCGCGAGACGCCACGGGCGTGTGACGGGGCTGGACTAGACGATCCGCGCACGGGCAGCATGCTGCCGGCTGCGACTTAATTTCGGACAATTTACTCGTTGGATATGATCTACTGATTCATGAGCTAGAATGGTTGCACTGCTACCCTCTAGCTTTCAAAGTGAGGTCGACAGAGGTTATGATGGGCGTCTGAAATCAAAAAGTTTCAAAGTCGGGATCTTATTTTTGATTCAGCAGCATGTACTCCATACCTACTATATAGTAGCCTGCCGAATTTTTTTCTCCTTCCCTTCAAAGTTAGCATTCGTGCATTTGCTGTAAGATCTGTCCAGTCCCAGCCTGAAAGTAAGAAAAATGATAATGACTCGACGGCGAGTCACCTGCGCATTGTTCCTTGCGTCCTCATCTGAACTCAATCTTCGCACGGAGGCGTCAACGGCTCAGCCATGAAAGACCAGATAGGTCTCGCTTGTGGCTCATGCCGAATACTGCAATATCAGTGCGAAGGACTGCGAGGGTCGAGGCTTTCATGGACTTTTCATATATTTCTATCACACCACAGTCGAAGATCCGGGCACCGGTCTGGATTTGACGAAACCTGCCCTATCGGAGCGCTGCACAACCTTATGTGGTACGAAATATAACTTGCGTGAGCTGTGCTAGCCAAAAAAACACCAATTTATATTGTGTCAGTGATCGCTCGCCCGGCGAGGAGGTCTGGCTGCGACGCTGACACTGTCAAGTGTTAGCCAGGTAGGCTCCGTGCTCAGCTGGAGTATCATGAGTATAAGCGGTGCCTGCGTTAGCAACGTTAGCAAGGGGACGTACATGCCCAGGAAAAAAAGGCAGTATTGATTCGACCACTTATCAAGCATGACGAAGTGAAAGCATAACCTCTGACGGAGATAGAGTCCGTTAGATTTTGTTGTCTCTGGTAAGTTACAAAGTGCCTCTTCGTTTTCTGCGAAAAGCGCCGCGATGAACCCGGCCAAGGACAAGGTTACAGGCAAGGTTGCATATGTGCAGCAAAGACAGGACCTTGCCCAATGTGAGAAGTCCATGCCCTACATTCGTGCCCTACTTGCGCCTTAGGCCTCAAACCTCAACCTCAATCTCGACCCTCAGGCAGTCAGGCAATTAGGCCTTCAAATGACGCCATGTATGTCAGGCACCGATTACTTGTGTCCTGACTCCTGAAGGCTTACGGGGGGATCCTAGTCACGGAATGACAGGAAATGTAGACCAGAGCAATATTTTCATTGGTGGATCTGATGAGTGGTCTAGATGATGAAGCGTCCGGATGTGGGGGAATGTCGCCTCATTGCGATGAAGCTACCCACAGGAGCGCTTAATGGGCTTCGATCATATGTCCAGTATCGTACCACCCGAGACGGCTTCCAAGATTTGTATGTGCAGTATTCCTGAGATAACAGTAGGAATAAGAAGCGGTCTGCGCAGAACAGAAGCCTTACCCATGCTTTCTAGGCTTTTAGCTGCAGTTGCGGATGAACTTTGTGACAGGGAGTAGCTTCCTGAGGGTTATGCGCGGGATCTTTACTGTGGGGCTGGCAGAAAAGAGCTAATCGAATTGTCAATTGTGCATCCGGAGTTCGCTATGAGGATTAAATGTAAGATGCGCGGTAGATGAGACATGGAACCAGATCGATGGAGTTCAGTCAGAGCAGAATATAAGACATTGATCAAATAATAGCTATTGTTGTTGACACATTCTGGGATGGAAGCAAAGCTTTCGTTACACAGCTCGATCCGGCCAGGTCAATGTCTCGCCGTCGGCCTGGAGGGGGGTCATCTTATGGCGTATCTACGGAGTACTACTCCATACTCCGTCTCCGTAACGATGGAGAAGGTAAGAGCGAAAGCGCGAGTCAATGCAACGCAGCAAACCCTTTCCATCAGGTGACTGCGATCGCACCAACAGATGCAGGTTTTCATCAGTGTGGAGGTCTGCACTTCCTCCTCTCTGTTCACAACAGTACCTGGCCACATATCTGGTCGCTTTTACAAACCCTTTCTCGGATCTCGTCTTACAATCTTGTCCATAATACGGAGTACTGTCTCCTTTTTGGGGTCGGCATAGCGGAAACCTTCAATGCAGCCACACGACGGCTGTGTTACGTTGAGGTTGAAATTTCCTTTCCTCAAGTCTGGAAGAGAGGACGATAGTATTATTGAGACTTCCAGACATTCAGCGACCCGCGACTCCGAAAGTCTTGAAAGGTATGAAAAGATCGAGTGAATGTTATGAGCTCTTTTCTCAATTGAACAACTACCATTGGAATTGGGGTATCTCCACCATCGCACACCCTTTAGTGCTAACCAACAGGGGGTAGCCTAGGACAATGTAGGCTCCGATCTCTTTTTTAGGTTCAAGCGGATTTCTTGCTGATGTCACCATTGTCTTAAGCTCACGCTCGCGAAGATGAGCGAGTCTCGGACTTTTCCCGTTGGCAGTCTGTCTTTGGATTATTATCGTCGTGTGGTGCAATTATGCAGATTACTTATAAATACGGCGGGGAGTACCTTACAAAGTAGTCAGTATGGTAATCGAAGAATTGTATGTATGTAACTGTACCAATTGTCAGCAAGACCTAATCTGGACCCAACCTGGAAGTACTGTAATTTCATCTTCATGTTTACATGCTAGGTAAGCAGTCGATTGGATGGTACCTACATTAAATGAATGACCACACATAATTTGTGCTGACATTGAATACTGACAGATGCAGTTGGATGCAGTGATATGCGTACCTGGCAGGTGCTGATGATTTGGCTTGCTCAGTAATCAAATACCTGAGGGTAGGTGGTAGTTAAGCCTAACATGATGACACCATGTCTCAGGTTTGTTGTCTGAGAGCCTGTCCTCAGTCTAAAGTCTAATGATGTATACCTAACTATGAAGATAGGTGGACTAAAGTTTGAAAAGAAACCCCGAGATTAACCCAGTAAATCTTACAATTGGAGAGAATCTAGACAAACTACATTAGTACTTGTTCTCTCTTTCCATTCCACCTGCACAAAACCGGCCGAGGACCAACTATGGTCTCTATCGGGGTCGCCAATAGAGACAGTATCTTCCTTCTGACTCGGCAAAGAGAGATTGCACGATTCAATGCATCCTACTGCTCCATAATTTTTTTTGGATCCCTAGAGCAAGTCAGGTGTGGCGTAGAGGTTATCAATCTATCTAGTCCAGATTATAAAGGTGCACAGTGCACACAACTAGCTGGCGCTCATCTGCTCCACCTCGGCCTGCAATTCATCGATAGCTTCGATTTCGAGTTTCCTCTTGGCTAGCTACAAGGGACAAGTAGCGATTTCTTATTTGGTGGATTCCAATTTTTTGGCCAATATAGCAGCGACAAGGCGTCGTTCTTTGGCCAAATTAAATCATGAATCGATCTGGGTCGAAAATCACTGCTGCTTTTAATTCGTCTCGTTCCAATCTTTTTCTTGGCTTGAAATACCAAATGGGCTGAAGAACGACTTGACCATGGAAGGATAGGAGGTCGAACTTGCAACTCTCCGCTGTCTTGTAAGAGGGACACTAAGACGTGTCATTTTACACGCAAAGAGAAAGTGACATGGACACCTCTATGTCAACAACTCTCAAGATTCCCTCTGAGTCAGCTACTCCGATCCCTCGTGGTCATTCCGATAGGTGGGGCCCATTGGCGAGACCAGAGCATAGATTTTGCCTAACAACATGGCTTTTATCAAGTACTGTACTCCATATGTAGTTGTTTGGCAATACAAAATGTCAGTTTGGCTTTTTCACCCCTCTGCCTACAGTAGGAAGCCAAAGAGCTACTCGTGTTTATGTACTAGGTTGATCATTGAAGCCTCGATAGGGCTGTGTAGAGGCGGTAGAACTTTCCTTGCGATTTACCGGATCTAGGTAGTCTAATCATGCAGGTGATTTTAGTAGCTTAGCACCCAAAGAAAATTGTACTCATTTCAGTTCTCTTCATAGAAAAGACGTGTTTAAAAACACACCTATTAATGTGTAAGCAGAATAATTGCCTCCTTCCTTTTTCCCCTTTTAGGTTTGGCGATTACCTATTCATTAACTTCTTTTGACAGAGTTTGGTCACGATTTGCATTGCCTAGGGTGCCGGGCCGGAGTGGACCGCTGGTCCGCTGCGGGCCTTGTGGACCATGGATCATGAGCCTTGGGGTCTTAGCTCCTACTCCCTTACCGCGAGTTGGCGACTCTAAAGTCTCCTCTGTCACTCTAGTAGTTTTGGCCGAGAAGAGTAGTAAAAATCCGCAACTCATCAGCAGGACTGCTAATTACTCTAAACCTAATCAGGAATCAACCCTTTTGATGTCTCTCAATTCACGCTGGTTATGCATGTTTGTGATTGGACGAAGCGCAATTTATTACCTAGTTTTGTCTTGCATAGAGAAATAAATTGAAATCGATATACAGCCTTTGATTCGACCGCAGTATCTCTTCAAGTGTCGCCTCGTGACAAAGTACCATGCATCTTGTACTGTAGGTTTCCCTCTTTTTCGCTATTCCTTGACTTATCTGTGGCTCTAAATTGCGCACTACAACTTTCTTTTTTCGTTTCCCTCCCTCCTCTGATGAGGCGTCTCCCGTCCAACACGGATGACAGGCTTTTGGCAAAATATGCTTTGACTAATCATCACTCGAGGTGTCAAATCGTGGGATCGTGCTTTATTTGATGAGAATCTCAGAATGAAGATTTGTCATCCCTGGCCGTCAATGCAGGCGATCACGATCTGCCCTTCAAGGACTTTATTTGACACATACTATATGTTAATCGGGCGCCATCTTCTCAT